GTCAGTCTGATGTAAAAAGAGTGGGTGTTTCCCCCCCCCCCCATTCTCCTCCCTCCCTCACCCTGTGCTTTCTGCTGGTCCTCTTCTCCCTATGCTTCGCAAGTCGGTACACACCAAGCATTTCATTCTAAACGGACAAACAATGGCACATTGAATGCTAATGTGATTCAGTTAGTCAGCACTGGTGGCACAAACTGGAGTTGCCTTAATCAGTCATTAAGCAGGTGCACCGCAGCACCTGGCATAAACACAACATCATTTATTAGTCTTAAAAGTGAGTGGAGTTAACAGTACACACTTTGAACTCCCACTCAAATGATATTGTAATCTGAAATCAATAAGGGCTGAGGCAGTGTGACTGCTTTCATTCAGGCTGAGCTCTCTCATGCTCCCTGAATTGAGATTTTTGTCCTTACAGACCCTGTGTTCTCAGGTAGGGAAATGACTCATTGCCGATCAGTCTGCTGGCTCTGTGCACTGAGAGGGGCTTCAAAGCTCTTTGCCCTTTTGATTTCAGTCTAAGAGGCCTACCTGCTGTCTGTCTTGTCCAATGAAGTTTATTAGCAGCTAGACTAATACAGTGCATTTCCAATATATTTTTCTACAAACCGAAAGTAATAAATTGTGAGGCTGTCTGGCATTAGACGGTAACAGGTTTAAGAAGAGTGCATCTTCTAGCCAACAGTACACAGTGACTAGAGCGCTTCGATGACTGTTTTGGGAAATGTTTATTTGTAATATTTGGCTAATTTATTTTGAAATTAAATCCAGTTTGAATATCTAATCACAGCCTGTGCCAATTTGAACCCTCTTCAGTTTTTAGTTTCAGAGACGATTTATTTTATTAGTTTATTGCTTTACTACTGCTTACAAATGTGTTACATTATAATGACACAAAATTAGGTCAAACATTTCATCTTTCATTATCTCTGTTAGTCCTGTTCAATTAAACAGGGCTGTAGCTTTATAAAAGATGTTGCTTACCTTTATAAAGTTTTGAAGGTTTTCTAGTTGGCACAAACTGCAGTGCCTGCAGCTCTACCAGTTCACTGTGGCTGATTCTTATCCATTCCTCCCTTGTAATATTTAAAACTGTTTAAGATGTATCTTATGATATACATTTTTTTAATTTATTATTTTACATTGAATTATACAATTTTGCGCCAACCTTGGAGACAAACTTAACACAGCCTATACAGCTTGAATGCGAAAAGTGTGGCTGATGTAAGAAAGAAAGCAGCAGGCGTGGAATATATCTGCAAATGCAGAGACTCATGATTCTGCATTATACTGAGAGGCGATTCAGTCAACCCTCAGTATAAATAGGGTGGATATAATAATGAAAGAAACACGTAGTTCAACAGTACCACAAACCGCAACCAAAAACGCCTTTTTTAAAGGTCTAGTGTGTATGATTTATCGGCACCAAATAGTGAGATTGCAACCAACTGAATACCCCTCGTCTCACCCTCCCCTTCCAAGTGTGTAGGAGAAACTACAATGGCCGAAAAAAGCTTGCGCGGAATGCAAAAGGCCTTCTCTTGAGCCAGCGTTTGGTTTGTCTGTTCTGGGCTGCTGTAGAAACATGCCGGTGTAACGTGGCAGACTCCATAGAAGAGAAACACATCTATTTCCAAGTGATTATACACTAATGAAAACATACTTCATATTGTGCCAGTAGACCCTCGTTAATCTAACTGGACCTTTGAAACCGTTTCAACAATAACTGAACTTTATAACCTTCATGAAGGTTGGATTTACAGCAGGACTGTTGTATTAGACTTTATCAGTGTTGACTAGGTTTACCTAACAAACCACCTGTCTATATATCACTTGCTCTTACTCTCCCTAAGAGGTGGAGCCTGGACTTCAGCACCTGGAGGGGTGGTGCTAGAGGTTAGAAGTGGGAGGTTTCAGTGTATCATTACACAGGCCAGCCTCTGTAGTTGTTTGCCCATTATGGCTGCTCATTTAGAAATGCCTTCTCTCTGCTTACGATAACTTTGACAAAATGAAGGAAAACTCTTCCTCAAACAGGCTGCTGGGAGGTCAGTGTGTGTTGTGGATCTTTTTGCTTTCCTGCATGACATCTGGCGTTGTGGCCCTAGTGTTTATGTCTTAGGTTTGTAAGAAGAGAAATGTGCGAATGTGCAAACTTGGCACAGAGGGCCCTCTCTCTTTCTCTCCCCCATGCTTTCTGCTGAGCTGTCACTTCTCTGAGCTGAGCTAAGCCGCTGCACTGGCCCCTACAACAGAGCCACGCAAGAAACTTTGTTGTTTCTCAGCACTTTTGTAAAGTGGTCTTCTTGCATTTGCCAGTATTTTAAAAAAAAATGCATTCCTCTGCCTTTTCTTACTCACAGGTATTTAAAAAATGAAATAGTAGCTGGTTCAGAAGAGTGAATCCAGTATGTGGGGATTTTCCCCTACAGAGGCTAATGTTTGAGGTTGTCTAAGGTGAAACCTGCCAAGTGTCATAGACCAGAGGTGGCAAAATGGGAGGAGTTATTATGATTGTCCAGGGATACAGAAGTAAAAGTGGATTTATTATCTACGCGTATGGTTTAAGGTGACTGACAGTTTGAGGAATTCCGAGGCTTGGATGTAAAGGACAACCATCCAAAAGATGAACAACTGTACTTAAATACATTCCTTTGATTAAAAAGTCAAACACATTGATGTTATTGTTGAAACAAAACTCTCAAATGTTGGTGTGTGAGCTTTAAAAGTAGCTCTGATGATGATTCTGCAATTGTGTGTGTGTGTGTGTGAAAGAGATTTTTCTGACATAAAAAATTGGGTTTGGTGTTAAAACATTAGCTGTTGAATTCCGGCTAGGGCTTGAATGAATCAGGCCTGACTGGGGCTGAAATTTCAGCCCTGTTCACCACTCTAATACTCTCAATACATTTAGCACAGATGAAGCAGCTGTTTGCCCCGCGGCAGAGTGTTTGATCTTGCTCCTTCTTTCTTCACAGGTCCTGCTCAGGTTCCCATGATGTCTCCAAATGGTTCAGTGCCTCCAATCTATGTGCCTCCTGGATACGTTTCACAGGTACTAATTCTATACTACTTACAGTGCACTGTTTCTGATTGGCACTTTGTTGAACTCAGGTCAGCTTTGATATCTACATTCCCTCTCCTTGTTTGTTTTTCTCTTAGATCATAGAAGAGAACGGAGTGCGGCGAGTTCTGGTTTTACCTCAGCAACCAGAGTTCCACCCCGGGGGCCACTCCCCTCTACACCACCCTCCACCTCCACCCCATCCCCACCTGCCAGCCTTCATCCCACACCCTGCCATGATGCCCCCGCCGCCCCACCTGTACACGGGCATGGCTGGGGGCGTGGGCGACATGAGCTCTCAGTACATCTCCCAGTACCATCCAGCTCATATCTACTCAGAGCAGGGTGAGTTGGTGTCTGGGCTCTGTTGTTGTATTAAGAAGTTATTTATTTGTCCCATACAGTTGCACAGTCAAGTTATACAAACAAGGCCTGAGTCAAACAGTTCAGTCTTTCAGTTTCTCCATCTGTGGGGGTTTACCTCACTACCACCCTGTTTATTTGTATGCCCTTTAAGATTAACCTGTGATTTTTGCCATTTTTTTTCAACTGCTTCTCTGACTTTTTTTGGACTCCCGTCTGTGTCCGTGCAAGCTTACAAGTGTTGCCTTTTCCTTCCTTCTCTGCAGATTCTCACTCCCAACACGGACGCCCCCCGTTTCTTCACCGAGACGACAGAACTAGCAAAACGTATGAGCGTCTGCAGAAGAAACTGAAGGAGCGTCAGGGAGGCGGAGGAGGAGGGCAGGTGAAGGACAGCCCCCCCCCTTCGCCACAGAAGAATTGCAGCAGCCCCCCAACGGTGGACATTCACAATGGCGTCGGAGGGAAAGGGCTGGAGGCGGAGCAGGGACAGCTCAGCCATGCAGTGGCCGGCCCTGACAAGCAGACAGGCAGGGGGAAAAATGGAGAGTCAGGAGGTAAGGAGGTTTTGTCGAGATTTACAACTGGGCTGACACACAGCATTTTCCGGATGTTAGGAGTGTGTTGTGTTTAGGTACTGAGAATAGTGTCTCATTAGCTGCAGCAGCTGGTGGCAGTGAGGGATCAGCAACATGGCCAACATTATTCTTGATTACATGAACTCTGACTGCTCATTAATCATGGAGTTTAACACTGCTACTTGGCGACACCAGTGCATAATTAAGGAATTACTGTCAATTTTGAAAGTGGAGGGAAAATTAATTTCACCTTATGACCTCGTAAAGATTGCTGAAATGTGAGCAATCTACCACAAAAATGTAATGGGGTGTTTAAAAAAAATCACATTGATACGTACCATTATTTTAAGGAAAGGGTTGACGTTGTTGTAGTCTGCATATAAGCATACAAATGTACCTAATTAGCACACTAGTGTATGAACTTGACTCGTCTATGACTGTGGCAGCAACCCTATAATGATTGCATATTTCTTTTTGCTGCAGTGCATTGGATTTAGGTCTACTGAGGCTACTTTTAGTAGTGAAATTCTTACTTTTTCCACAATAAAACCCTCAGTAGCCAGTACCCTCAGTGCTAATTCTAAATATTGATTTGTAATGGTAAATTTATAAAGAACTTTCACATCTTTTGAACGTCATCATTTGAAGAACTAAAACATTGCATTTCCGACAGATAGGTGACTTGTATTTATTTTTGTTTTAGCTGTGAGGGTCATTGTAGATGCACTGTGTTAGTTCACCACAAAACACTGGATAGTGCAAAGTTACACCCATTACTACACTGTCCAAGAAGCACACAAACATGACATTCAGAAATGTTACAGTAGTGAGATAGATACTGCACCGCACATAAAATCCAGCAGGCAGAGATTAAGTGTTACCTATTTAAATGGAAATTGGCACATTATTTGTCACATGCCTTATTTTTTCTTCTCCATTTTTTTCTTCATTTCATTAAGACAGTGGTGTTTTCTGACCATATTTACTTTTATTTCTCTCCTCAGAGCTGGATGAGGAAGCTCTGGCCCTGCAAGCACTATTGAGTACCATCAGTAAACCAGTGGTTAGTATTCACTTCTGCTTTTTTTTTTCTTTTTTTTCTTTATCAAATGAATACAATTTGCCTGATTTTATGTGACTATTAGTGCTGTGTTCATGAAAACTCGTAATGATGCAAATGTGTTGCGTCATTAAACATTCTCTTAACATCCATGATGAATTCTTGCTGATATCTTGCTAATGGAGTCAGACCTGCTGACTAGCATCCATGTGGGGATTTCTATTCCCAGATGTGTCACTAAACAACTACGCTAGCAGTTACTAAAAGGTTTGAGCTTTGCTTTGAAAAGAAGTACTGATTTTTGACCATTATCAAGCTCTCACATCTTCACGGTACTATGTGCGGTGGCTCTTAGGCAACCATTTATTTTGTCCCAAAATATAAGATTTCAAATTAGACATATAATCAGATAGAATTCTACATATATGCAAATGTTTTCTTTTAAATAACCCTTGAGAAACCGTGGTTTAGTTGTGCTGGGCTCATAGCATCAGTGTGGATAAATACAGAGAATAGTTGTGTTAACAGCAGCTGTATGGGAATCAGTAGAACTAGAAATAGAATTTCTTTGACCTCCATATAAGATGGGATTTGTCATAGACTGTCTCTTAGGTCTGAACTCCTTGTAAAAGTAGCAAAACAAGTCTATTAGAAAGATGATGGATAAAGTTAAGGGATGATGTCTAATACAGGGATGGTTCAGCTTCAGTGGAAAGTTAATTTTCTTCATATTTGCCGTCACACTGGTTTGTTAAAGGACTGAGAATCTTAACTGTGGGAAGTAAAGGAGTAAGGTGGGCCCCCGAGGGCAGAGGGGAGGAGGAGGCACAGACTTGACCTGATTGAATTCTTCCACATATGAATCCCCCCTGCAGTGTAGCTCAGGCTATTTTTAAACCTCCTCAAAACAGAATGAAAAATCTTAGGATTGCACAGCACATCCCTGCCAAGTGCAGAAAATCTTTTCCCAGAGTGGCATCAGCTTGAATATTTTGATACCTGTCTTTATTCTTCTACCAAGCATTGCGCTGTTTGTGTTATTATTATTATTGTTATTATTATTATTATTATTATTATGTATTATTTTTGGAAATTTAAAAATAGGTTAAATATGGTACGGGTAGCAAAATCTAGTGACTAGTATTTTGAGATTTGGCAGGTTCTGCGGTTAAAAGAGTAAAAGCTTTCGTTCCGTGTCCATGTTCGATGATGTTGTGTAGACTTGATAGTGACCCATTAAACTTTCATATGATAGGTGTCAGACATCCAGGCAAGAGGAGCAGTAGTGAGCTGGAGTGCGCCCACCAGGCCAGAGAGTGAGAACAGCAATGTGGAGGACGAGTGCAGCCCCCTGGAGCCCTTCAGCTACGAGGTCTCCATCTCATTTAGCGGCAAAGATGGGAAGTACAAGAGCAACTACTGGTGAGCACTAGCAGCAATATGCTACAAGACTAAACACCATATGCTGTCGAGATTTTACATGGACATTTTATTTTGTAACGTTTTCCTTTGATGCAGTGGGGAAGAACTAAGTGCTACTTTAGAAGACCTTCGACCAGCAACGGACTATCATGTCAGGTTGGCATAACCTTCCACCTGCTTTTGTTTTAACTACAGTGTTAATGCCAGGAGGACCATTTTGTAACCACTTTGTTCTTCTGACCTCAGGGTCCAGGCCATGTGTAACTGTTTACAGGGAAGCCCGTCGGAGGCTGTGAGCTTCACCACTTTAAGCTGTGAGCCGGATCCTCCCAATCCTCCCAGGAAGGCCAGCGGGACCAAGAACACACTCGTACTCCAGTGGAAAGTAAGAACAGTTAGAAGATTGATGGAGCTGGGATTTAAAACCACAGTTTTAAGTAGCAACAACATCTAAGTGGTAGAAAGCAAGGATTTTTAAAAAATGTAGATAAAGCAAACAGTTAGCCACGACACCTTTTTAATACACAGACATATTTGTCCTCCTAAGTAGCCTTACGGATGGAGAAATGAGATAATGACTGAAAGGTCACCAGTTAAGATCTCCAAACTGGCTGGGAGAAAGAGGGGAAAAGTGATTCAGATCACCAATCCCCTCCCGGGAGTGCGTGTAAATGTGTGAGAGTATAGTGAGACATGATAAGAACAACTATGCACGCTCAGCAAACGTCACTGAATTAATTAAACCATAGAAAAGGCTGCACACCTGGACACCTTATTCCACACCTTGTTTGTTATTAGTGCTGCAAGTTGCTTCTTTGTAATTAGTGGCAGTTAAAGGAAGTGTTTAGTACTAGACTGTGATTAAGGGGTTGCAGGGCTTAAGATATAACAATCAAGCTGTGTGTGGTTTATCTACAGGCTCCATGTGACAACGGTTCCAAAATCCAAAACTACATTCTTCAGTGGGATGAGGTATTTATTTTTAATGAAAGAATTGTTGAACACTGCACAGCACTCTGATGTTTTATGTGCAACATATTTGGAGTTACTTGTTCTTAAGGCTAAAGACTTTGTTCTCTGAAGGGGAAGGGCACTGGGATTTATGAACAGTGCTACTATGGACCTCAGAAGCAGTACAGAGTGACCAAGCTTTCACCAGCTTCAAGATACTCCTTCCGCCTTGCTGCCAAAAATGACATGGGTGTAAGGTAGGTGCCTTGACATGCTAGATTTATTTTCTGGATGGCACCCTCCCTGTTGTCCATTTTTATGTTACTGTTTCTTCCATTCACTGTATTCATCTGTGTGCGCATGTGTGTCTCTCCTGTCTCTTTCTCCCATTCTCTCCCATCTTCTGTCTCTCTCTGCCCTCCCCAGCGAGTTCAGTGAAGTGGTGGACCTGTTCACTTCATGCAGTGTGCCATTGCCACCCTTCCCTCCAGAGCTGGAGATGGCGGGGGTGACCTGGCTGTGTCTGAAGTGGCAGAGGCCCACTAGCTCTCCAAAGGAGGATGACATCTACTATATTTTGGAGATGGAGGAGGAAGGCTCGGTATGTCTCTCACGGTCTCTTTTTAAATAGAGAAATCATGGGAGATCGAAACACATAATGACACAGCAATTTTCCCTCTACGAAATGTGCTTGCTGTAGTTGCAGGGCCGTTACTTTTAACAAGGCAGTATTGCCAAGTGCATCTTTTTGACTTTTTATTCATCTTCAGACAGGATGTATGTACACCATTAGCGAAGTAAAACTATAATCAATGAATAATAGACAGCCATTTTCCTGGTTGATGTTGATGATCCTTGTGTAGCCACTTTGTGTATTCAGATACGGTTATTTATTTTCAACCCAGCCAAAAGCAAAGATCTGATTCACATCTCTTTTTTTGCAACACTTCATCAGTTTGCTCTGAAAGTTACATGACATTTATAGCTACTGTCACCTCTGCCTGCACTGCAAGCAGCTACCTGCAGAAATAGTGCCTGCCAGGTAAAACACAAAGTTCCCCTATCCCCTGTAGCTGTTTGTCTCTTGCAGACCACTTTGTTTTCTGTGCTACAATGGTTGCCTGGTAAGTCATTGCTCACCTGGTTGTTTTCTTTCTCCCTTTGTAATTTGTCTTTGTCCCAGGGATATGGCTTCCAGCCAAGCTACGACGGGGATGAGCTCTCCTGCACCGTCAGGAATCTCCACAGGAGTACAAAGTACAAGTTTAGGGTAAGGGAGCCCTGTGATGTTTACGGTCAAAGCTGGTGATCTACAGGTTTTATTTAGACTGCAGTGGAGTGTGTTTGTGTGGAGGGGACAGACTTCAGGCAGGGAGGGTGCTGAGGCCCACAGTGGCCCTATGACTCATCCATTTCCAGGATTCTGCCAGCAGGGCGGTGGGCTACTGACAGCATAAACAGGAGGACTTCACTGCTCCTCACATGCGGGGCCCCAGTGAGAAGCTGGTCAAGCAAAGCGTTTGAGCCACAATGGCTTTTTGGTCAGCAGTAGTGTGGCGATTTTTGTAGGGGCAGACAAGTGTCTTTCTCTCCATGTCACAGTCTCTTTGCCTCTCACCATCTCCCTCATTTTCCTCCTCTCATTCTGATGTTCTCTTCTAAATTGATGTCCTGATTGACTATTTATCGTTTACTTAATAGCTCTGATAAATCACAGGTGATAGTTATAGACAAAGACCATTGAGAAAAGGACACATGATGCTCCTGAGCTGAATAGTGGCAATCCAATAAGAAAAGATGACATAAGTAATCTACAGTAAATTTAAAGTGAAGTCCTGCATTTTCTTTTTCTAACACTGTCAGTTTTGTTTCAGAGCTTTGATTAGCTATGCTTTAACAAAATATCTGGTTTTGATAGCTTTGCTCCTTACATGGTTTTTAAATCAGTCAGGGGAGCCGTTCCAGGTAGATTTATCGATGTGTTGTCGCACATGTATTGTTGTATTGTTGTATTGTTGCCTCAGTGCATTTCCAGAACCTAATGACTCTGGAACAACCCACTGAATGCACTTGCTTGTAGAGTGTGTAGAATAAAAAGCTTGTAGAATAGGCCACAAAGCCTATAGATAATGTCAGTAGAAACACAATTGAAATTGACAAAAGGGGACATCCCACCTCACCCCATCCCCATAAAATAGCATGGCAGTGTTTTGACACATCTCTGGCAGTGTGTGGAAATGTTTACTTACCTTGACATGCTTTCTCAGGTTAGACAGCAAAATAGGCAGTAATGGAGTGGTAAACAGAGTAAACATTTAAAATGGTATGAAAAAAATAAGATATGGCCATGGGTGGGCCAGGATATTAATAACACCTCAATGAACCATAGCACTGCACTGTGCGTAATGTATTATATGTAACTGAGTTATGTAATCAGTGTACAGTTACAGAATAAAAATTATTAACAGGATTACTATTGTAAAGTATTTCAGTTTCCTTTAAAAATGCACTGAGAAGAAAAAAATGTTTTGTGCTAAAAATGTTAATACATTTTAAAGGTAACCTTCCCAACTCTGATCCCACATACCTGGTAAATAGTCGCAATACACTATTTATGCCTGTTTGAATAACAGTAAAAACTACATCCCCCAACTGTTTGAGGACATTTATGATTCCTCTTTAAAAAATATTATTTTGCTTTCAAGAGAGTAGGTGTTTCACTTTGTCCACTGAGTATGGCATTTATTTGAGTGCTACATCTTGGCACAGCTTCCCTACAAACTATATATGTGTAAGATTTATGTTGGGGTGCCCTGGTAGCTCACCTGGTAGATCGCGTGCCCCATGTAGTCCCCACCGCATGCTGCATGGCGTCCCCTCTCTTTCTCCCCTCTTTCCAATTTCTCTCCACCGGTGACTGTTAAATTGTTAAATAAAGGCATAAAATAGCACCCCCCCAAAAAAGATTTATGTCTTCAGTAGGAACCAGTGGGCTTGAGTGCTACCGAGTAGGAAAATATTGAGTGACGGTCTAATGCTTGATTTTGGTCTTTTTATGGGATATAATAAACAAAAACACCAGCCTCCTTTTTAAATTCAGAGCAGAGTAATTGTATTTAATTGCACAAGTTCTGTGTAACTGTTACATTTCATAACTTGGTCATTGTCAGTTTGGCTCAATAGGTGCGTATACTCTAAAATTAAACTCTATTATCAGTTGAAGCTGGGCACTACACCACAGGCACTCAGTGACTCCCTCTTTAAAACTTCATGCAGCATTTACAACAACAAGTGCTCTTTTTATCTGTCCAGCACTTAAGAACATGAAATCATATTAATAGATAGTCTGATAGGAGAATTAGGAAGCATTACTTACATAGCCACCAAAGTCTGCACCACAGCATTTCTAAACCATGATGCTGACAGAAAGGTATTGTATTACCCAAACAAACCACCATATGCCCAAATGATAGAAATGTTCATTAGTCTCTCTCAAGACTCCCTCCCTCCCTCATTTCCAATTATCCAGCTGCGCAGTGTGAAGGGTGCCTGGGTGCTGTGCAGGTTTGTCTTGGTACAGTATGTGAATGAGCTGCACTCAGCAGGCTGACAGAGATTTCCATATTATTGCAGATGCGCAATACTGAAATGCAAATGCCACTAAAGCTTATTGCCTCGTTTTTGTGATTGCAATGCTTGTGGTGTCTGAACAGTTTTGTGAAATGTATCAGTAGATGCCTTAGATCTACAGCTGAATCTTTCTGATAATGTGGTATTTGTGTGTGGCCATTTTAGTTGCAGTTCATTACCCTTTTCTGAGTCTAGTCAATGCTTGTTATCAGGAAACATAATGACCTTTGTACACTTGGCCTCATTGACTGTCAAGGCAAACAGCAGCCAGATTCTGAGAGGAATAATATGACTCCTCACTACCTGTATTCATGCACTTCCTCTAGGTGGCAGCATACAACTCAGAGGGGAAGAGTAACCCCAGCCAGGTGGTCGAGTTCATTACAAACCCAGACAGACCCAGCAGTCCCTGCAGGCCTGTCATCAGAGGAAGAGTCCTGCCCAACAGCTTCAAGATGGCCTGGGGTGAGCATTTCCTACCAATCACCCTTTCCTTATCCAATCCCTTCAGTCTCGCATGTAATTGACAGCCTATTAATGTCAGTTCATAATTTCTCTTTTCTAATTCAGCTGTGTCTGACCATAGATGAATGTATTCCAAGTAGCCTTTATAGTAGATGACTGACAGTTCTCACCAGCATTCGGACATTGGCATGAATCCGCCCTAAATCTCACTTGAGAAACACATCACCTGCTGCTGTACTTGTCTCTTCTTCCATTTTTCAAAATAAAAAGCAAAACCATGTCCTCAGGTCTAAAAACATTGTCAAATCTCTCTCTACTCTCTAAATGTCCCTCTGTTTCCTCTAAAATTATTTTCTGAAGAAATTTGAGGGGTCACAGAGGCCATGTCGTTGATGAATCATGCTTCATCTATTTTTACATTCCTTACTTATAACAATTACTGAGTTTGTGGAGATTTAAGAGGCTGTGAGTTCCTCTATTATCAAGTGACTCCCCAAATTTCATACTTACTGGAATGAATCAATTCTCAAGTAGATTTCCAGACATAGCACAGTGAAAATTGAGCTTGCTGGCATTGCCAGGCTACCTAGTTGATGTTGATGAACTTGGTTAGTGCTGATTGAATGACTGAAAAATGATTTTTGTTTGTTTATTTTTCACCTTAGAGCCCCCAAAAGATAATGGTGGAGCAGAAGTCACAAAGTATGTTGTGGAGCTGTCTGAGGGCTTAAGTGGTAAGTTGCTAATGGTGATAATAAAAATTGTTTATGTTCCAGTGAAAACCATGTGTCGGACATTGAAAACGTATGTTTATTGAAATAATTAAAATGGTTTTGCAATGCGTTTGTGCTTAGGCTTGTCATGGGAGCTGGTTTACTCAGGGCCAGCTACGGAGCACGTGTGTGAAGGCTTGAAGCCCGGCTGCTCCTACCAGACTCGAGTTTACTGCATGAGCGAGGGAGGACAGAGCCCGGTGAGTCATTCAGCATCAGTCCGTGTGCACACGGCCTTGTCTTTCGCCACAGAAGTTTCCTGATCAGTTCCGATTTTGTATGGCGTGGTAGAAAGGGATCGCAAAATTGCACCTATTTTTTTTTTTTTTTTATGATGTACTGTACATACACAATTACCAAGATTACTATTAGAATTAGAGTCTTTGGTGAAGGTTTTAATTACCTACACTTATTTTTTTATCAAACATAAAATGGACGCAGGATTACTCCAGAAATCCAATATGACACACTCGCTGTCTCTCTCACAATGTAGTTATACAGTGTAAAACCTGATTATTGTGCACTGTTTTCTGTGGGCTCTTATTATTGATACATTTCTCGGCTCCTACGTAAACTAATTGTTAGGGAAAGCAGCCATGTATGTCACTACATCCCATGGTTGATCTGATAAATTTTACATGAATAATTCTAGATATGCACTCTATTTATGGTGAGTTTTAATAGGAAATTGTCATTCAGCCAGTGTCCTATGTTGGGAGATTAGACTATGCTTCCTGGTGTGTAAGTACAAGACAAAGCCCGCTAATCGATTAACCCTCCCTGCATGTGTCAGAGGATGTTTTTCTTAATTAGTTCAGTTCACAGGCACTCTTCATTAATTTCTTCATCAGCTGTTAGTGCATGCATTTATTCATGATGGGGCTTGTAAAGAAACATGACTCATGGTGGCGAGATCCTGCCTTTTGGTGCAGCACAATGTGACATAACACTCACATGTTTGCCACTTTTGTCACAGAAGTTGAGTCTGATTTATTTTTTTTTATTTTTTTTTGAAGGTCTGTCTAACTTAATCCACGACTTCGTACGAAATACAGCATATTTCTCTGTATGCAGGTGTCAAAATTGTTTTTTTATATAGACATTAACGGCTTCTTTGAACAATGTATTCACATTTGTCTTCTTTCTGCTCTGTTGTAGCCTGAATCAGTCTTGTGAAAATGACAGTCTGTATCCAGTGTGTCTGTGTTGTGTGAGAGAGAAAGAGAGGAGGGGAGTGAGAATGTCAATTTGTTTTTTTCTCCGTGTCTTAATTGGTGTGTTGTCTTCCCTTGCAAGCTGTCGGAGACCCTGCAGGTCCAGACTCCCGCAGTGCCCCCTGGGCCCTGCCAGCCCCCTCGGCTGGTGGGCAAGCCCAAAGCCAGGGAGGTGCAACTGCGCTGGGGTGAGTCATTCCTCTCCAACTCAGATTTGTGTGGGATGTATTCTAGCTTCTGTTGATGCATTTATTTGTCTAGTGAACTACCTCAAAGCAATGAGCTTTGATTATGCAGTTTGTATTTTGCTGTTTGTGCATTTATCTTTGTGTATACTGTATTTTTTTTCTTGGTAAACCCTTTTTAAAGTGTATTGATTTCTAAGCACTGGTTGCACAAATTTCCTAGGTCCCCCTCAGGTAGACGGAGGCAGCCCAGTGTCCTGCTACAGTGTTGAAGTGAGTGGGCCGCAGTCTGAGGAGAGCAGGGAGGTTTACCAGGGTCCAGAGCTGGACTGCTCTGTGGGAGGCTTAATGCCTGGCAAAACCTACAGCTTCCGGCTCAAGGCAGCGAACAAGGCTGGGGTGAGAAAGAGTGTCAACACTGATCTATCAATAAAAGGAGAGAGGATTGCTTTCAACCCTCTCTCACTAAATATGATTTAAAATGCCTGATATGAAATTATTCAGTTGTATTAAATTGTTTTTCTTCTCTTGTGCTGATAGTTTGGACCTCTTTCGGAGCGCTTTGAGGTCACAACCGGTCCCGGGGCCCCTGAGCAGTGCAAGGCTCCTTCCACCACATGCAAATCCCCCAGCTGTGTTGTTGTGAGCTGGGAGGTAAGACCAGCTCCACTTCTATTCCCCCACTGATGTACATAAATTACAAAATCGCATGTCATTCTGAGAATATATGAGAAAACTTACACATCGCAAACTCAATGCATTATTATAAAACCGTGTCATGAGTTTAAGCGCTGATGGACATTCTCATTGTAGGCCCCTCCTTGCAACGGAGCCCCAGTGACAGAGTTTCGCCTGGAGTGGGGAGCCGCTGAGGGCAGCATGCAGGTGTGCTACAATGGACCAGCGCTCAGCCATGAAGTGAAGGGGCTGCTGCCGGCAACTAACTACTTCTGCCGGGCACAAGTGAGCACTAAAAAACACTTAGAATATCACCTTATAAACCCAGTAATTTCAGTACAATTATTATTTTGAAGAATAGCTAAATTTCACGGTACCTTTTATTAGTACAGGTTATCACAATTAGAGCTCAATAAGAACAGCAAAGATCAGTGGTTTTTATCTTACACCTCAGTGCTTGTAATTGGGTTCATAATTATCCCAAAATATTGCAACCACAGTAAATTAAATCATGCCAAGCTGTGTTTTGGATGAACTACAAAAGGTAAGAGTTTCCATATTGTCAGGTTTTGATTGGCGATGATTCAGAAAACATTTGTGAACTTGATCTTTCACATTATGTTCTTCTCACATCAGTGCAAAGTGAAGTCAGTTTTGACTCGTTAAACAACTACGAACCAGAAGGTTTGTTTTAGTGATTTGATTTTGTGTGCTTGCCTGTCATAATTGGCCAACTAATGGTTGCTAAGAGCTACATTACCATCGTTTATACGGGCTGATATTGCCGAAGGTTAGACCATGTCTCTCTTGTGCTGCTGCACTGAATGCCTTTTTAGACCACGACCAGTGAAGCCAGCGTTGGTGTGAAAGAGGAGACAGATTCTGGCCTTAAAACCGTGACATGGTCCTTGGGGTCTGGTTCAGGCTGAAATTTCAGGCCGTGCTGTTCTCTTGCAGCCTCCTTTGTGGTCCAACAGGGAAGAAAGGGAGGGACGCTTATAGGTTATCACACTTGCAGTGTGTTTATTTTTCCCACCGCCACTGTTGGTCCACAGTAAAGGCAGTACATCTCTGGTACTTAGACCATCGCTAAATATTACACTGTAGACAGGCTATAAAACCAGACTTTTCATTATGATAGTTGAATTTTATCACTTGGCTCGGCTACGAAATAAAAACTGCATATTTGTTTGCACTTGTTAAAACCCTTACCGATTATGTTTACATAAGAACTCCACCTTGTGGTCAAACATGAACATTACACGTGTTTCCTTTCACTGTCGCAAGTGAGAGTGGATGTTGACCTGATTGGCTGATTCTTGTGTCATGCTGTTGTGCAGGCTGTGAATGTGGCTGGCGTGGGGCCCTTCAGCGAGGCAGTGTTGTGCCAGACGCCCTGCTCTGTGCCCGCAGCCGTCAGCAACATCTACACGTTGAAGGAGTCCGAGCTGCAAAGGTACGAGACTCCAGTGGACGCAGATGAAGACGAGGAAGACGAGGACAACGGTTCCAGGCCGCCGCCATTCTACTCTCCGTCCACCTGCCTGGGTATTTGCTGGGACCCCCCATGTGATCATGGTTCTGAGATAACTTCCTACCTGATCGACCTTGGAGAGCGCCAGCCCATTGTTGTTGGTCCCGTCACCAAACACATCATCCAGCACCTGCAGCCCGACACCAGCTACAGGTTGGTGCTTCCTCGTAATAAACTCGAAAGCTTAAGAAATGTTCGCCTCATTCCTGTACTACACAACTTTGCACCTTTTTAGAAGTGAACACGAGCTAACAGCTCTTTGAAACTGTTAAATCTCAGTGCTCACAAGTCTTAGAACGCGATACAAATCAATTACATACACACACCACTCTCGTATATTATCTGTGCTTTGTACCAGATAATGCCAAAGGGGGCAACTGAAACAAAATATAATTAGTTGCACTTCTAAATCCAGGTTTTTTTTTAACAGGGCTGGGAGCTTTTAAAGAAATAGTTGGGGCATTCAGACCTAGTCCATACCCTCCTGCGACCCTGCGTCCTCATATGGGGACAAAGTTTTTATAGTAAATAAAGTCCTGATGTCCTCATATGAGGACATCATTTTTTGTGAAAACTACAAATTGGTTCAAAGACAGCTGCTTATTTTTTGGGATCTTATCAGGTCTCTACTCAATCCTAAAGAGCTCAGGAGAAAATTAAAAATGCACAACAAACAACAGCTCGGGTCACAGGAGGCTGTAGCACACCTTATTTTTGTTTTCACAAATATGAGATGTATTTTTGCAGGAATTTTGCTTAATTAAATAAAATAAAATATCCTTCATGGATTCGCTCTCTGATGTTGACATTTCTCCTTTTCTTCCTCCTCAGGATCCGAATCCAAGCCCTGAACAGCCTGGGAGCAGGCCCCTTTAGTCACACCTTTAAGCTGAAGACAAAGCCCCTGCCCCCGCAGCCACCCCGTCTGGAGTGTACCGCCTTCAGCCACCAGACCCTCAGGCTCAAGTGGGGCGACGGCCCAGCCAAAGCCGCCACCTCAGACGCCCTCCAGTATCAGCTGCAGATGGGGGACAAGAGTGGCAGGTCAGTGGCCCATTAGTCAGGCGAGAGGAAGTGACCTGACAAGAGATGAACCGATAAGACAGGAGACCGGTGTTTGAGCAAAAGCTTCAGATAACTGTATCGAGGAGGGCGAGATACATACAGAGTAATGCCCCAGACAGAGTGCCTTTTTATAAGGAGACAGCAACTGATGATCTGCTTTAAGCCACTGTATATTTCCTGACAGAGAAGTCACTCGTCTTGTTTGCTTTTTGTCATCTTTACCCTTTTACTCATTAAATTCTTTCTCTCTCTCTCTCT